ACTGATGTTGTATTCTTTGGAAATACGCTCGGCAATTGGTGCCAAAGTCTTGTTGCCGTAAATATTCATTTGCTCGAGGAGATATGGATTATTGAATACGGTTCGATTCCAACGTGGACAGGCAATTTGCAGCTGTAACACATAATCATGATCCTATATAAAGCGCGTTATGTAAAAGGTTTTTAAGAAAATAAAAATATATACATATATATTTTACAAATGACGTGGAAAAAAAGAATAAAAAGAAACTTACTCGCGGAAAAGACGAAATGTACACAGGCTGACTTTTACAAATGTCCAAAGGCCCCTTGCCATTGAACAATCCTTCAGCAAATGCCATTGCTGACGCACCAGCCCTTTAAACAGTAGCACATCATTGCATTTTATATTTATGCTTTGAAACATCAGAAATAGCAGATTTCAATTAAATTATACCTTGAAGTGTCAGAACTTTGAAATTTAATAAGTTCGGGATCATATTCGACTCCTTTCCAAAATTTTGCGTATCTTTTACGACTTTGTATCCCATAGTAATAAGGTTCGAGTTCTCCTCGTTTGATCAACTGAAGAACGTTCCTCGCTGGGAAGGGGTTTTTATACTAAAACAGAAAGTAATTCTCAATTAATGATATATTATTTTTTTCGAGCGGGTCAAAAAAAAAAATTTTAATTACCCATTCTTTTGCAATATGAACATTGGCAAAAATTTTTTCCAATGCATCGTAAGCAACGATGTCGAATGGATCCGGATGCCTCGATCCTAATAATTGATTCAAAGGAAGGTTATTTTATGACGCCGTTAAATTTGCACGCAAACACTGGATAATAATTACCATGTCTGGCATTCAAATGTAATTGTACTAATTCACATTTGTCAGGATAGCTTATAGGTTTAATATCAAGATTAAAGGCAGTTTTTGCTGGTTCGAGGTAAAATAAATGACCGTTGATAAGTTCATCTAAAGTATATTTGTATCTATTGCATAGAATTGGATTATAGGAGATAAATAAAGCGAAGAGTAAAGCTGAACATAGAACGTGGTATGAAGACGACATCTTTTTTAGAATTACAAGCCGCGCGCTTTCAAGAAAAAAAAAGAATCACCTTTATATTGGATCATTAACTAGGAAAATTATGTCACTTAAATTTTCCTTAATTAATTTTCTAATTAAAGTAAGACTATTTTTATCTTGATAGTATTTTCTGTGCAACATAAGCTATTACATGAAACTGCAGGCACTTATTCCTCGATTCTAATTGTTCGCCAGTGATATTTCTACAAGAGTTGAAATTTCCGGGAAAATATCAATATTTCGTAATACCTCATACTAGGAATTATTTATCAATGAAATTATTTTATAATTTTATACATATTAAAAACGATATTATTTTAAATAATTAGGAAGCATAAATCTTGTGATACAAGGTAACATCGAAACTAGTTTTGACGTTTTCCAAAATTTTTTTTTTAGAGGACAACCAACGGTTGACAAAACCTAAATCAGAATAAAATAGAATTCCTTTATGGGAAAAATTTTAATAAATGGTAACATGATGCTGTGAATTACGCCTCATTTTTATTGCCGCACCTATTGCGCCACGAAAAATAGATCTCTGAGAAAAAAAAGGAACAATATTTAACAATACAGCCACCATGAATAGAATAAGACATACATTCCTATCAAATGTAGAGATAATACCATCAATAGTTATTAGATAAAAACGATAAAAGATCTGGACATGAAGAATTTGTTTTAAAAAAAATTAATAGTAATAATCCATGATGCGGAATTTGATCGTCGGCTGTTGTTTTCAGAAAAAAAAAGAAAATTTTAAAAATTAAAATCTTTTTTGATTAATAAAAAAAAATATTTACTTTATGCACATCGAATTAAATTTGATAATTGTTCGCTTATTGACAAAGTTGTGTAATTTCAAAACAGTTGAGTTTATTGAATTAAATGCTTGCGTTTAGCCAGATATAGTTCAAACTATAACCGTTTCTCCTGAACACCGCGTAGAGGTGGCAAGCTTCGTTCAGGTTAAAAAATACTTGAACCACCACATATCAAATGTGATAGCTCATTTGAGGTGAAAAAAGAATGTGCAAACGAATATAATGGGGTATAAATTTAAAAAATAAAATAAATAAAAATTCACCTCAAGACATCATCGAAATACATAAAGAAAGCATAAAAATTTTTTTAAAATAAAAAAATAAACTCTAATTTAAGAAAAATACGGATGAAGTGGCCAAAGAGGGAATACTATAATCGCAAAAAGCGATACTTTGTATCGTAGTCATGCTTATCAAAAGATAAAAACCCTAGTGAAAATTTTATAAAAAGGGAAATTTTTTTTTGATTTTTTTTTTTTATATATATATATTTTTTTTTTTTTTTTTTTTTTTATATTTTCATTTTATTTTATTTATTTTTAGTTTTTTTTAAATGTGCCGGCCAAGACAACAAAAAGAAAAAGAGGTAGCCAGTTTAAAAACGGAGGGGGAAGGGGTAAAAACCGTAATCAATGGCTACATAGATACCAGGAGGATCAAGATCCATTGGTTCAGGCCACTGATTAGGGGGGATAAAGGGGGTTTCAACAAAAATGCCAGGTGGATCAAGATCCATCGGCTCTGGCCACCTAAGAAGACGATAGTGAATAAAGGGACGGCTAAAAACGGGGAGGGTAAAGGAAGGAGTAGAAGAATTAGTAGAAGAAGAAGAAATGGAGGAAGCAGAAGGGGATGAATAAGGGGATGAACTTAAAGAAGAGGGGGAAGAAGGGGAAGGGGGAGAACGATATGATAAGGTATTAGGGAGGGTTGAAAGAGAAATAACAGGAAGGTTAGTAGGGGGAACTAAAGAAGATGCGAGAATAGGGGAAGGAAATGGGGAGGGAGAAAAGTTTGGACCTGTGGAAGAAATCGAAGATGGGGAAGAAGAAGAAGTAGGGGAACTAACTGGTAATGTGGGAGAGTGAGGATAAAAACTTAAGGAAGGAGAAGAAGAAGACGAAGGAGATGGAGAAGAAGTTGAAGAAATAACGGAAGAAAGAGAAGAAGAAGCAGCTGTAGGAGAAGGGGAAAGAGAAGGAGGTACAGCTGTTAAAGAAGAGGGAACTGAAGGGGGGATGGAAGAAAGGGAAGTTGAAGAAATTTGTCGTCGTCTTGGCGCGACAACTGCACGAGTGACACCTTGAACGCGAACCTGTCGAGTTCTTCGAGTCATCGTTTAAGATTCCTTGAAATGTTAACATGTAAGTTATTTTTTGGTTTACTTCTTTGTAAATAATATTTTCAAAAAACAAATTGCGAAAAGCGATACTCACCAAAAAGTAAAGAAAGTTGGAATAAAGGTAGAATGAAGTTGCGAGATCCTCTATTTATTTTCAAAAAAACAAAAGTTGGCCAATGAACAATCATCGACGATCATCATTACGTAATTCGTAAATAACAAAATCACATAAATACGTCATACAAAGTGATCTGAATTTTTGTTCTATATTTAGCTCTATGAAAATTATGAAAGAATAAGCGATTTAATAAAAATTTTGTATTTATTTCTAGTAATCTATCAAATTTATGAATTATACTAAATTTTACATAAATAATGCAAACATATGTCCATATTCCAATAAATATTTTATATAAAAAGCAAGGGTTCCATAATTTAATTCCCATTTGCATATTTTATGATAATAATGTTTTAGTCAGTTGTTGAAAATCATGTCTTGTTTAAAGATTAAATTCGCTATAAATGTTCGTGATTAAGTTAGCTGCCGAGCATTATGACCGCAATTAAAGCTGAGTACAAAACGACACACAAAACAATTCATAATTTGAGATTTAACTCACGATGCGCACAAATGCCTATTTTGGGAAGTAAGAAAAGTTTTATATTGCGAAAAAAATTTAGGGTTTAATCTGAGAGAGAGAAGAAGAAAAACTTAATAGCCTAGAATATATACCCGGTCTTTTATAAGCTTTGCACTCAACTTCCTTGTTTAATATTAAAAGAAAGTATATCAAACAAGAAAATCTAATGAATAATTTACAATTAATAAAGTGTCACTTTTAAATTAATTATAAGCTGTTAAATGATTAATATTTGCCTTTCAGCGGAATTATTTAACAAAAATCAAATACTTAATGATACGGTGATATTGAAAGATATTAAGGTTGCAGGACAAAACCTTAATCCTATTTGGCAAAAGTCGATATTTTCGGGAGTTTTCGACGGTTTGACAATTTCGACAAATTCATCAGATTTTAATTTGTAATCCAGTAATATAATGATAAAGTTAACATTAATTTATAATTACAAATAAAAAAAATAATAATAAATAAATATAAGAATCCCTTAAATTATCTATCTATCTTTCAAGTAACGTGTTTACCATTTCTGTTTCTTC